TTCAGAGACCTACAATGAGTGTTGTCATAGCAGAGTTAAAACAGTGTTTGACAATGGAATCTCCTAGTAACACTGAAACATTTGTGTCCCCTCCAAAACAAATCTACACTGAATTCTACAGTTCATCAGAAGCACAGTCTTATGATAGTGAATCTATCACCTATCCTTTCCCAAGATAGCAGTATACATGGAACCATCAGGATTCGTTAATTAAATTGTACATTTTTGTGAAACCGTAAGATGAAAGGCACACTGTTACTGCAACAAACGGCACTCTTCTGCAGTATTTGATGAAAAATTATTTATATTTATTTGGTGTTGTTCAGCTTGTCTGCACTTTTTCCCTGTTCTAATACTTGGATAACCTCAATAGGCAGTGATCAATTTATTTCAACCGAATTTTTTTTATTAATTAATTTATAACAGAACCTGGAAAGTGACATAGCAGTTGTCCTTTTTAATATTATATCTTTTTCCTATTTTCATTTAATATAGTACTCTCGACCCACTTAAATTCATATCAATAATAAAGTTATCACAAAATAAAAATACCATATATAAGTTTCTAACTAGCACGCAATGGTAAATTTTATAATTTTATAAGCATTTATGAAGTTATACTTTTTTTATATATACATACATACATACTATTTATAGGCATTTTCTTTTTTTGTTTCAACCAAAATTATTTATCTAATTTTAACAGATTTGTTTAATATATGAAATATATAAAAATGTTCTATATGCAATGACATATATTAAATGAACTAATCAGTTTTTATTATCAACACAGTTGTATCAGCTGTGAAAATATTAGGTTACGTAGGAACGTAGATACCCATCATTACCACACTACTAACGTCGAAGACCAAAAAACAACCACAGTACTAGGTTAATCATGTTCAGCAACTTCTTTAACAAACGTAAACAACAACGCGATCCTATTGCCGTCTTAGAAAAGTTAAACAAGGTACACCGATCACTGTTTCTTCTTTATTTTTTATCTATGTTATCTTATGCTGTGTGTATATAATATCATTACATCATCGTATATAGCATTGCTCTTTTTTGCTCTTAATTCTGCTCCTCGTGCTAGTGTTTTGTAGTTCAAATTTATATTTACATGTTTCTGCATTCCATCTTGTAACGATATATAGACATGGTCAAAATTTGAGTGAGAAAGGAGTCTTCGATTTGAATGTTTTGTTCTTATGATCATGCAGACACTTGAACTGCTTGAGAAAAAGGAGGATGTGCTTCTTAAGAAAGTGAATGCAGAAAAGGAAAAGGCTATCGAATTCATTAGAAGAAAGAACAAAAGGGGTATTGGGGTTCTGATTAATCTCCTTCTATATATATGTGTGTGTGCGAAATGTGTGATTTGAACTTTTGTTTGATGCAGCGGCAGCGCAATGTGTGAATAGGAAGAAGTTATATGAACAACAAATAGAGCAGCTGGGAAATTTCCAGTTGCGTATTCACGACCAGGTGGTTGTGAAATCATAAGATGATTTAGGTTATATATGTCTTGAGCCTTTTGTGTATCTTATGCTGTTTGTTTTTGTGTTACAGATGATAATGTTGGAAGGTGCTACAGTCACCGCGGAAACAGTAGCAGCATTAAGAACTGGAGCAGATGCCATGAAGATTGTGCAAAAAGCAACGTGGGTAGTGAAGTTTATGTTTTAATTATTTTATGATAACTGAAGCAGATGCGTTATCATGTTTATTCAAGTAGTTACTTTGATCTATGATATTGTTGAGTAGAAAAATCTTCAATTTCAGGAATATTGATGATGTTGACAAGACTATGGATGAGATCAGTCTACAGACTGATAACATGAGAATGATTCAGGAAGCCGTGTCCTCTCCCATTGGTGCAGCTTCTTGTTTTGATGAGGTCACCTTCCTCAAATCAAATGGCAATTTTCATGATCTTAGCAATCTGTTGACACATACTTAGAGATTAATTTCTTCTCATAAATTGAAACTTGTACATGTGGAATACCTAATAATTATTGAAAGTTTCACGTTTATTAGAGATCAAATCAATTTATAATATATAAGTGAGTGTAACCTTATTTTATAAGTCGATTTTACTAAATTGAACTGGACTTAAAATTTCTTTCTTAATATGATATCAGATTAAAGTTTATCTTCGACACATTGAAATACTCTTATAAGCTCTTGGAAGATCCATTAATAACTACTGTCATAGAACACAGTGCATTTATGTGGATCATTCTGAGTTTTTTTGGTTTCAGGACGAATTGGAAGCAGAACTTGAAGAACTAGAGGCTGATGAATTGGAAGAACAGCTTCTTCAGTCAGGAACTACAGTCCCTGCAGTCTCAGTGCAACCTACTCGCCCTGTAATGTCCACTTCAGAGGTAGATGAATTGACAGCTTTGCAGGCTGAGATGGCACTTTGACCAGGTCCATTTGAATCCTAAAACACTTTTCATTTGTGTAGTGAATCTGTTACCTATGCATTGGCATGTGTGATGTATCATATATAATTTGAAATGAATTGCTTAAACCTTGGAGAAAAGTATGAGAAATTGAGAATCTTGTTCTTATTTTGCAGACATTTTTGTGCTTGATGACTTCTTGCTTCAATATCTCAAGAGTTCTTCTGTCTGAAATTGATGAACAGAGCAGACCTTAGTTTCTATTTCTATTTTCTGGTTATCTATTAGTTTAGCACAATGGTTAACACTTTTGTTCTTACGTGCATATTCTATAGCACGCTCATTTTTCAACTAAACAGTGTATTCATACACAAAAGTCAAGTACTCATATCTGCATGTGGTTTGAACATGGATTCCCTCCCTCATGACACAAAATGTCCTATTTTTATGAAAACATTGATTTCTAATTTTTCAATTTTCTTAAAGATTTAATTGTTAATTTAAACTTTGACAACTTACTCAAAAACCTGCATTTATACGTGAAAAAAGATATTTTAATACAGATTTTTTAACCATATTTTAATATAATACATTGTAAATATTATTTTCTACGTTGACATGTATGTTACGTTAAAATATTGTAAAAAAAAATATGTTATTATCTCATTATTCTAAAACAAATGAAAATATAAATATGCCAACTTAAAAGAAATTTGTATAAAAAGATGCAAAATTTTAATCTTCACTTTGTTTTAGAGTTCAATAACTGAGTATAAATTGTTAATTTAAAATTCAGACTCCAATCTTACCTTCTTAATGAAGAGTGGACGAATCAAAGAAAATGGGAAAAAAGATTATTAAAAAATAAAATTCTTGCTCGTTTTTATTTTATTTTCCCTTTTTATATACTAGTTCATCCACTCATAAAAATTTAGGTATGGTTGAATATTTTCTTGTTTATTTTCTTTTAGTTTTGGGTTGAAAATGAATTTTAACCCAAAAGTGTGAAACATGGATGAAACTTTGCTATTTTCCACATGCATGGACAGGAAAAACACACACAAACATATATATAAGTATGTACATGTATATGTAGTTGTTATTGTCAGATAGAACCCCTTTTTCCTGTTATGGAAATTTCTTAAGGACCAACGCTAGTTTCATGAACACTTTAGAAACCAACAAATTTTGGTGACCACGTGCGATCACTGTTTTTGAACTCAGTCTCTCTCTCTTATTGGACAAATTTTATACTATAAAAAGCATACCATTTGTGAGATTCTTCTAACATGGAAAAAGACATGCACTACATCTTTTGACTAATATCTATATATTTCTAATACTACCACAATTCAAAACACTTCAGAAGCTCACACAATTCCACATACAACAACTACTTTGCCCAGATTTGAGCTATTTCATTTGTCACCACTACTATCATTCCATTCCACAATTTCCCTTTTTCTTTCTTTCAAGCTTTTGATGAGTAGAACGAGTCTTGGTTATCCACACATGACGAAGCAATGTGATCAGAAGATGCTGACCCATGATTCATCAGCAGATCATCAAGCACAAAAGCAAGTAAATTTGGATCATTTTCCTCTGCATATTCATAGCCAAACCATTGTATATCTTCATTCTGCTGTGCTAATGAAGCTGCATTGAAAGTTGGCAATGAAATTTCATTAGAGGGTGGTGCACTATAATTAAACGATACTAATTCCTGAGGCATTGGAAGAGGAACTGAAATTGGTGTTTGTTCCAGATTCAGATTATTGTAGGAGTCAAACCAAGCTGAGTTCAGTTTCTGATTCAAGACAAAGGCATCAACTTGAGGTTGAATAGTAGAAGATGAGAATTGGTCAGAAGAAGTAGCACCGCTGACAGTGCCATTGTTGTAGCTTGTGGCAACAGTACTACTACCAGTGTTTCCTCCTAGAAACTTTTTCTTTAGCTTGGTGTTCCAGTGATTTTTGACATCATTGTCTGTTCTTCCGGGCAGTTGAGCTGCTATGAGGGACCACCTGAAGCCAAATTCACACATATAATAATGCACATATATCATGCAACTTAACTTTATGGTAACGTTCATATAATAAAAAAACAAGAACTTGCCTGCTTCCAATATTGCCATAAAGGGTGCAGATAATTTTGTCTTCCTCTTCAGTGAAACCTCCAAGCTTTATATGAGGCCTGAGATAGTTCAGCCATCTCAGACGACAGCTCTTTCCACAACGTTTAAGCCCTAAAACCACAACATTATAACTTTTTTTTTATTAAGAAATAGATTTTAAATTTAACTATTTACGGTAGTCATTTAGAGACATAAAGAATGCATTCTAACTAATTCGGAAGTATGATAAATCATGACTTTGAAAATTTTCCAACACTAAACAGGAATCTTATCAACATGAAATTATCTTATTTTTAGTCGATGTAAGATTTTATGTGAGAATAAATCTTATAATTTGAGTTTGAGTCTTAATGTTCACTTATAAACACCATACATTATAGTGTAATCAAGGCAAAATTCTTAATGTAAATGACTGAATGAAGAGATAACACAGACAGACAGTGATGATTGATGAAAAAAGAAACCTGCTTTCTTGGGGAGAGCTATCCAATTTCCAGCAGTGCCATGTTTCTCAAGGTAGTTTCTGAGGGTGACATCTTCATCAGGAGACCATGGCCCTTTTTTCACGATAGATTTGTCACAGCAAGGAGCCCTTCCCATGGCCTACTTGGCCACTGGTGAACTGAGTATACCACCAGGATTGATCAATGGCAGAGAGAAAAAGAGAAAGTGAATGTATTTGGCTTAGAGAAGATGTCAAAAGAGAGCACAAAAGATGTCATTATAAGAACACAGTGTGATGGATTGCAACTTTTGAATGCTTGACTTTGTCTCACTTGCCTCTTTTCTTTGTTTCCATTTTGGTTAGCTTATACCTGCCCCTCTCCTTACTTTCAATCCCTGTGCCTAGTGTGTTTCTGTGGAAGAATGGTAAAAGCTGATGAAAGAAACAGTCAGTAATGAGGCCATTCAAAATGTAGTGAATTAACATATTTGTTGATCCATGAATTAACCTCATGTAATGTAATGGTACAAAATATAGTGAGGGGAAGACAGACCTTTAATAGAAGAGTTAAGCAGACAGTGACAAATATTCATTCACAGGAGCAACTGTATTGTCCTGCATATGTGTGATCTCTTTGATTTATAGCATAAGAATAGGTTCCTCTAACTCTTTTCACCTTAAGTTTATTTATTTATTTATAGTTAAATATGTTTTTGTTAAGAAACTATGATGCTATTTATTTATTTTATTTATGGTTTAAACTTTGATTTTGTTAGGTATTCATCTTTATAAAATATGTGACAAAGAGTGAATCATACTGATCTTTTAAGACTTTGATAGGAGAATAAATTGTATAATGCATCTATTTGATTTGTCATTTGTCATATCAAAAGACATTTAATGTTAGTTCAACGAAAATGAATCCATTTATTTATTTATTAAATATAGAGACTTAAATAGTGTAGGAAGTAAACCTGGGGATGCAAAAAGAAAACCCCATTACATTTTCATGTTTGTAGCCCAATAGAAAAATATTACAGGGCAAAAGTTCAGACCCAGATAGAATCGGATTCTTGGTTGGCCCCTCAAAAACCGAACATGTTTTTTCAATCTCTCTGTACGTGAATATGTGAAAGCAGTTTTAGAAGTAATATTTGCATATTTAGTGTTGAAAGTTCCACGTTTACCCGATATAAGACTAATTTATAATTTATAAGTGGATACAAATCTCATCTTATAAATTGATTTTGTGATTTTGTGATTTTGTAAGTTTGATTAGATTTGAAAACTCTCTTCTAACGTTGAATCATATATATATATATATATATATATAATAATAATAATAACACACAATACATGAAAGTGTTTTGAGTTTCATTATTGTACGGTGGTATTAGTCAATTCCATCAGCATCTTATCCCCAAAATGGCACAACCTCTTTCATCTTGTCTGTTGTTTAATAATTCATGGTATTAGTAACATTATTATATTCCAAACAAACCTGTTGCCACACAACCAACAGTTTTCCCTCTACTCAGGATGCTACCAAACTCTCACTTTGGAGACTATGTATACACTCTCTAGACAGCGACCTCCTTCTTTACATTTATTCTCAGAACAAAAAATCTTTATTCTCTTAACAAAATGTTAATCAAAAGATTCAACTTATATTATTCAAGTCTGAAAAATTCCCCTTCAAAAATTGAAAACACTCTAACAATCACCACAACTACAAATCAACAAATCATCACATACACAACTCTTATCTCGTGCACCTTTTTCTTGATTCTGCATTGAAGAGTATTGGAATTGTGAGGTTAGTTTTTTTCGAAAAAAAAACATTGCAAAAATTAATACTAATGAGTTGTGTATCGAAGGATCTCCCGGTCAACTCTGAATCAAACGGTTCATATAGTTAACAACGATCACCGCGATAATCCAAGAAATCGAGCTATCACAACTCACAGACCGAGCAGTCATTCATAACTAATGATTAAGTCTGATAGTAATTAGTTTACGATAAAACATGATTAGTATAAATTGAGTCATTATTAAACCATCTGAAGTTCATTCTAATATTTATAAATACATGATTTAGGTAAAAAGATAAATGATTTCATTTATTACGCATTAACAATTAAAGTAACTAAAATTTTTATTGACTTTAATATAGTAATACTTTTTACGTATAATCTCTCCGTTAGAACTAACGATTTGAAAAACAAACTATAAGAAAAACGAATATCAGAATACATAAAACTTAGTAAATGGATAACCTCTAACTTTATAACCAAAACTAGTTGTAGAGAAATCTATATAAATAGTATGTTACTTTCAACTCAAACCTTAAATACAATTAATATACAAATTTTTATACTTCATCTTTATCTCTTCCTACAAACTTCAAACTCACATTTTCCTAACATGTGTTAGAGGACAAAATTTGATGAAAAAAAAGAATATAGCATAGTCCCAACCAAGCACTATTAACCTCGTGGTAACCTTGAGACAATACCATTCCTCCTCCCTTTTTCTGGTGTTGTTTCATAGGTGCCAGCAAACTTTCACAAACATGGCCTCTTGAGAACAAAAAGACAAAAAACGTTGTCTTCTATCGTTGATGACAATACAAGCTACTACAAGTATTTACTATTGTGTTTTTCAGGGTTGGCAGGCCTATTGCATAACACTCTAGACTTCCTATAAAAACACATGGATAACTTGTATCTTTCTTTGTTTCTTTCGCGATAAAGTATAAAAAACAGAGCAAAGGATAAGTTCTAAAATTAAAAATTCAATTTTTAACCTTTTTTCTTCACATTCCAATCACAGGATAAATGCTCTAAGAAACTACAAAATCTTCACGTAAAACGGTGAACACAAGAAATAGCTGAAAAAAGGTTTAAAACAGTGTTTCCACATTTAAGATTATATGTTTTTCATGAGCAGACATTTCAGAGGAAAATTATGTTATCTTCTTTTTCTCACCAATGATATTCCTCCTTCTTAATTTTCTAATACCATGCAAGATTGACTCTATGGACATGAGAGAGAAAGTTATACAGATCTTGTGGGTTTGAATTTCTGATTTGATTTATTTAGAAATACAACAAAGTCAAGATAGCCACTGTATTTCTCTTTCCCATATCTCTTTTCCATAACTCGTGAATTGAAATTCAATATTCATATGATCCACCATAAGCTTAAGCTTCATACTTTTTTACATGTACAATAGGTTATGAGCATCGGTCAAAATGTACAAGACTTTTCTATAATCATGACTATATATAATGGATAACTAAGCACCTATGTTGACTATAAATTTTATGAAATTTCATATTTTAGAAAAAGATTTTAACTTTACTTTGAAAATTAAAATTAAATGAATATCTACATCAAGGGTATGATAGTCATTTGATATGAAAACTTAAACCCTATAATTTACAAACGTACCATGTTAAAGCTTAAACACCGTTGTATTGTCAAATGCTTGACAATTTTGGATTTAACATTTATAAATGTTCCCCAGTCAATTTCAGGATGACAAATCTATGATCGTGATCAATGCATTATAGCCTTTCTTTTCAAACCACCTATTCATGTAAAATTACTCGTTTCACTTCCTCTAAAATCTAGACTCAGTAAACTTTCAGCAATTCATTTTTACGAATACCTTTTTTCTGGGAAGACACAGGGTGTCTCGTAAGACATTTATGTTAAGATTATTTGTAGCATTTCAACGATTTTTGTTGAAATTGTCGTTGTTTTTCTTGAAACTTGAAAAGCATGTTAGCATTAATGTTTGGGACTTTCAGTGACATCATGAATGGAACCTCCCTACAAATATCATCAATGGAGCCTCTTTGCAATTGGACAAAACTTCAAACAAACCTCACAAGTCACCATTTTCGTGTCAAAATGGGTTACCCCACGAGGATGAGGAGATGCCTATCAAGAAGGAACTTCTTCATTCGAGTACATATACATCATTGACTAATATAAAAAATGTGTTATGGATTATCATGTAGTTAAAAAAATATTGCTTATCTTCTCATATTTCAAACAAAAATATTGAAATTAGAATGCAGTGTAAAATAGTTAAAGCACAACAATAATTTCTTTCCTTTGGAAACTCGAGAAAGATACGATGAGATTTGGATTCCTTGAAGTACAATTAGAATCATTCATTTAATGTGAATTAAGATAAACTAATTAAATTTTATGGTAATATAGAAAAATAAGAGAAGAAAAAAGAGATGGTATTTATGATACTTCTTTAGTCTATTTCTTACTAGTTTTTACAATTTATTTGATCTGTTTTCAATATGATTTGGAAGAAACATCCTTAACCTTTTCATTTTGGTGTTTTGTTACCATCTTACTCTCCAACCAAAGGTTCTGCTAAGACCATACTCACAACCTGCCGTTTTCCTAAATGAGCTAGGAGCCATAGTCAGATTTTCAATCACAGTAACCTTCATTTCCATAAATTTATACATTCCAAATCTAGAAAACTCATTTTGTTTCCCAAAATAAACTCAATCTCTTACTCCCTTATCTGAAGGAAGTCTCAGGCACAATCTTTCTTGTTTCCCATCTTCACTACACAACTGAAGAGATATTGTTGCAACTCAGAAAATCAGATCAGAGGAAAGAAAAGTGAGAACAAGGCTGAAAGAGAGCAAAACAATTTGATAAAATATTATAGATTACATAAGCAATTTGCATAACAGATTGGGGTTGGATCATCCTACATATTATACATTTGTACATGAATGAGATTAGTAGTGAAAGGAGTAACATTAAACGCACACTAGTGAAGTAAAACATGGTGATGATAATTGATAATTAACCATAATAATAAGCTAGCTATACAAAAGGTTATGGATACTTTCTTTCATCTTCCAAATCAATGGCATATAGAAGTCTTAAATTCTTGATTTTTCAAGAAAACTGCCCCAAAAAAACAGACCCTCTTCTTCACTTCACCCATGCATACCACCAAAATAACATATTTACAGCTACTTGCTCGCCTTATCCAAAATAAATCTTCATTTTTCAGTAACCCGCCACAACTATAATCACTTCACAAGCTCCGAAACCCACCCAACATCCGGAGCTCCACTTCCCTGACCCGATCCCTCCAGGGAGTTCTCTTTGCTCAGCTTCTCAAACATCTTTGCCCTTATGCCCCTTCCAGACTCCACCCTCTCCATCACTGGCTCCTCCTCAACACTTCGCTCCCAAATATCCAAATAGTTCACCCCAGACCGACCCGGTTGCTGAGTTGGTGTTGTGGGTAGACTACAGAACCCGGGTCGAAGTACGGAACCTCTTGGTGACCCGTAACCCGGAGACCCGACAGAAACGTTTCTGTTATGTGGCATCGATTTCATCTTACCAAGCTGCAGATTACGCAGAGAAGCCACCATCTCGTTCATAGAAGGTGACACGGGTGGAGACTCCGGTGGAGAAAGAGAAGCAGCCGGAGACGACATGAACGCCGAAGACTGCAGAACCTGTCTCATCGGAGAACCGTCATACGAATCCCCCGAGCTGCGAGGACTCTGCATCGGAACGAGACGCAGCTGTTCCGGAGTGTGCGCAAAGAAGCACACGCGCCGGCGGCAACTGGTTCCGTCCTTGCACGGCTGCGTGCGGTAGCGCGCAGGGTGTAGCCAGCACTCGAAGACGCCGTGCGCGAACTCGCACGTATCACCTTTCTTGCAACTCCCCTTGCGGAACTCAGGGCATGCCGCGCCGGAATAATGGTACTTGCGAGGGTCTCGGCGGCGAGCCTTCTCGCCGGGATGCGCGTACGGACACTCGGTCCAGTCGTGCGACCTGCCACGAGCGCATCTACGGACCTTGAACTCGTACATGCGAAAATGGTCGCAGGAGTACGCGTCCACCGGCGCGTCGGGTTGAGCCTCGGTGTCCGAGTCAGCGTCAGTCTCGTTGGCAGGAAGATAACGCTGCAGCGCCGTTAACGCTTCTTGAATATAGTAGGGAGAGTACTCGGCAGCATTGACGTCGTTTGATAAAAAAGAAGAGTACATCTCAGCCATTGGATCATCGTTGGTTGGCCACGGTGGGACGTGGACGGTTGGATTCGCTCGATGGTGCTCTCCGAGCATCATTTTTTGGGTGATGGCTTTTGCTTACAGGAACTCCGGCAGGGTTAGCTTGGTTATAAACTGGCTCTTAACTCGCATTTGACCGGGGTTGGGTTGAGGTGACCGTGGTTGGGTTAAAAAATCAATGAACTGCAATTTTCCACTGCGGTTAAAGTAGAGGGGGAATTCTAAATGACCAGAGTGGTTGGGTGATCTACGTGACAGGCTGCTTCTTCGTTTGCCATGTACGCATAGTGAAGTGGAATTATATGACCACGTGGCATGCGGTTATTGAAGGTGATTTAGATTAATGAGAAGCGCGTTGTCGTGTTTCGTGGGTTTGTGGGTCTCACGCCCCGGGTCTCCGGAAAGCGGTGGAGCGTGTAATACGCTACATTAATCAAATAATCCGTCAGTAAACTCTCGGCGGAAATTTTGATAAAGAGGAAAAGGTAGAATATTACAACAGGGTAATAAAAATAATAAAAAGAAATAATAATTACAATAAACGAACACGGTTTTATCCACTTTAAAAAAGAAAATGAAAGTGGAAAATTGCTAAAGCCCACAGTGTGATTTTATGGTGAAGTTGAACCAATGGGCAGAGTGTTGTTTTATTCTCTTCCTTTATTCTCTTTTTTCTATTTTATTTAATTGCGTTCTTATTTTTCTGAATTTTTCTAAATTTTGTTTATACTTTTGGAATACGAATACAGATACGGTGGTGGTATGGTAGTTTTAACGAAGCTGAAAAACGACAAGAACACTGTTGTGGTGGATTTTACGAAACGACATGTTTGGTTTGGTCAGACAGAGGGGTGTGATCGAATGAGGACACTCTCACGTTTCTTCTGGTGAGACCTAAGGACTCAAACATGTATATAGGATAAGTGGGAGTAGATGAACAATTATTATCAATTAATCACCTAAATCTGATAATGGAAAACAGATTCATGAAGCTGAAATCAGAACCCATGATGACACCCTTTCCCAACTTTTTTAATTATTATTAATAAATCGTGATCAAAATCATAATAACTATATAAGATATTTTTAATGCTGTGATAAGACCTAAAAGTTCACATCTTTATTTATAAATTTCACTGATATACCCAGAAAGAAACCCTTTTAAATAGTAATAGTTTTGGGCATTGATTTTACAAAATCAATATAAATGGTTTAATTAATAATATGAATTTAGTTACCTAAGGGTAAATAAATAAATAAATAATGTTATGGTGGTTGATGTAATTAAATAAAAAGTTTTGATCTTATGTCAAAATCATGTGGGAGTTGATGGCTATCTAATCCATTACATTACATTACTTGACTTTCATGTCACTATGTCACTGTTCATTGCAGCTTCTCGCCACAACCTTCTTCTTATCCACCGTCCCTTTTCTTTTCTTTTTATTTATTTATTTATTTTCATGACAAAGACAACATATGATCAAACCCTACAATTTTATATCTTGCACAAACCAATCTTCAGCAATTTCATTTTCATACTTAATCTCACATCATCTCTATTGGATCTACAAAAATTTATTTTCCCAATTCAATTTTCTCTACTTTTTTCAAACATTACAAAGCAATCTTGTTTCAAAATCCTCAATTACAAAATAACGCCTTATCGATGAAAGAAAAGTCACAGATAATTGAGCTTAATCAATACATTTTAATAAGACATATGTTGTTTTTATCTACTTAACTTAAATATCAGAGTGTTTTATTTTATACGACACTCATGTCAGACACGTAATTTACATATATTAACAATAAAAAATATTATACTGGTAACAGATGTAAATTAAAGTATAAAATTGGAAGAAAAAAAAAATTGAAGCAGCATGATTTGGCATGATGGAAAAGGACATGATGAAAGCATTTCAGAAACATTGGAAAGTAATGAAAACATATTATTAGACTTTGGTAGAGAATGTGCAGTCCTATGATGTTCTACCTTTGTGCAGGACACGGTTCATATCCCTTCTCCAAAAACACATTCTTTATCTTTTTTAGATATTCTAAAGATCAGAAACAGAGACACCATCATCAACACGGTGTTCATATATACTTTGTACTTGTCAGTTTAAAAGAAAATTATTATAATTAAGCACAAGTAATTAATATTTTTTAGTGTTAATATCTGTTATATTTCTGAAAAGGCGAGTGAAGTTTGTAACAAGTCAAAAGGATAAGAAAAGATGAAGCGAATTATAGAGAAGCAGTGAACAACATGAGCAAAAACAAGTGCTAATCTCACTCAAAACCCTATTCACCATCACAAAAAACGTCCATTTCAATTAACGTCAACATATTCCATCATGCTTGCAATATATGCTTTTGCTCGGAACCGCAAATTGTTCTGTCACACTTCTTTCTACCTGACAATTAATGTTCCATCTTCAAATTTTAACACTTTCGGGTTAGAATACTAAAATACTAAACATGCGACGGAGAACTTTCAACACATTCTCTCGTATCGAGATATAAATATCACTTCGAAAATAAGACTAGATATTAATGGGTGGTCAGATGGAACAATATATCCAATAAACAATAAATATCGTTAAGATAGATTTTAACCTAATTCTGACACCATGTTAAGAACTGAACTTTAAACTTAACTGCACCCCACAAAACCGACTTTTTAAGATGAGATTTACACTCACTTACATATTATAAAATTGGTCTTATCTCTAATTAACATGGAACTTCCAACGTATTGGAATAATATATCTACATAAATCTTACTAGACGATAAGTTGACTTTAATATTATGTTATGAAGTGAACTTTTAATTTAATTATAAACATTAAACCAAACGCATGCATGATTTGTTTGAACGTTGCCATGCATCACACTATCAAAAAGTTATTTAAGTGTATTTTTTGTTTACTGGTAAAGCCAAAATACTGTAGCATTAAATTAGTTTTTTTAATGAGAGTGAGTTAATTATATAGTTACGTAGTGATGTGGATGTGGCGTTGGAGTTTTGTGGGTGGACCACATAAGATATATCTCTATGGATTGCAGGACCTTATAGACAAGGCACTTGAAAGTGAATAAAGAGAAGCATTTTTGGTAGAGTATCAAAATATCATTGATAACAGTCACTTCCTTCTTCGTAGTTTTCTCATCAACCTTCCTCTCTGGTGGGGTTCTTCATTATATTTAACAACCACACCCAAACTCATTCAAATCAAAACACTCATTTCTATAGTTATAACTTTGCCCTTGCCTCCTTCTTAGGAACCTCTTCCCACCAAACCTTCCACCCATTAATAAAACACCCAATTTATCTTTTTCTCATACCATCTTATTATATAACTATATATAAGACTGCTTTAATATAATTGAATTCATTAACCTATGTAAGTTTCTTCCAAAATTACCTTCTTTATCTACTGTATTTTGGTTATTGTCTGTAATATCACTGACGTTGATGTTATGTTAGATTTATGGCAGTAGTTTTCAGTTATTAACGCAGAACTAGATAAACATTTATATATGGTAGTGTTAGTAGATGAAGCGAAATTTGAAGACATTAATTATATATGTTGAATAGGGCGGCAAAAGATTATACGGGTTATGATTTAGGAGTAATTAATAAAGCATACGTAAGAAGTCTCACATCGACTAAAGATAAAATCAATTTATAATTTATAAGTAGGTGTAAACCTTATCTTAGAACCGATTTTGTAGGGTTGAGTTAGGTTTAAAGTTTATTTCTAACATGGTATCAGAGTCATGGTTAGAGCCTATCCTAATCATATTTCAATATAAGTGGATGCAAACCTCACTCTACAAGCCGGTTTTGATAGGAAATGATTAAGAATAATGAGTTAAGTTGATAAATAGTAGTAGTTCCCTTGTGGTGAGCAGAATCTAGAGAAGAATCGTTATGGTTGAAGAATGATTGAATGGTGTAAGAGAGAAGGGAAGGGTAGGTGCAAACGTGGAGGATAAGGGTGGAAGAGGAATGAATGTGAGCATGTGAAAAGGGAATGGTGTAGGGTAGTAGCAGTGGTAGCAGTGGTGGTGAGGGGAGACAGACAGAGAATGAAACAAACAATGTAGGAGTGTTTTCCAAGGATTATTGTTTTATTCAACAAACATCTGAAACACTTGGCTTTCTAACGTTGCCCTAGATGGTCCTTTCCTTTAATGGCTCTTCTACGATTATGCCACATGCATGTCCTTTCTTTGTCCTCTTACTACCCCATTCCTTTATTGCTCTACACGTTCCACTTTCCAGACAACTCTATCCACACCCCCAAATATACTTTACCATTTTTTTCTTTTTCCTCCTTTTTTTATCCTAAAATATCTCTTCTCCCATACATCCATGTCTTCCACCTTCTTTTTCACTCTCTTTCCAAAATATCTCTTCATTCGTTTATATATCTTCAAATCTTTCACCCATGCCTTCTTCTTCCTTTCCAAACTCCAGCTTTTAGGAATACATCTATTTATAGACACACTTTCACACTTAAAGTACAGCATTCGTGTTTAATATTTTACAACTAATTCTTTTTTTATTATTATTTTCAATTAATTTTTACCTATTCTTCTTAAAAAGGATTAAAAGTTCCGTCAATAATTTTACTAATATTAGTATTTTCTGTTTATTTCATCATAATTTTGTTTTTAAAGACAATAAATAAATAGAAAAATGGTTATTTAAAACAAGGTCTTGACTCCGAATTATTAAATGTATAAATTATATATATCTTACTCTCACAAATTTGTATATTAAATAAAGTTAAATATATTTTTAGTTTTTAACCTTTTTAGTAAAAGTTAAAAATATTTTTTTTTCAAAATGGTGAACTAATTAGTTATGTTTACGATTATATGGATTTAATTATTTTAATCAATTCTTTATTAAATTTATTTAATGTTTTAAATGTATTTTATACGGAGTATTTGAATTGTTTATATAATTTAGATATTTTTACTCTAATATTAATATATAAGAATGTTTGAAATATTAAATAAATTTAATAAAATTTAATTAAAATATTAAATTCATGTAATTCTAAAAATAAAATAAT